CACACTCATTCTCTCTCTCTCTCTCTCTCACTCTCACTCACTCATTCTCTCTATCTCTCTCTCCCGCTCTCTGCTTTCTCACTCTCTCTCTATCTCTCTATCTCATTCTCCTTCTCTCTTTGTCTTTCTCTCTCACTCTAGCACTCTCTCTCTCTCGCTCTCTCACTCTCTCTTTCCCTCTCTCTCTCTTACTCACACACACACACCCTCTCTCTCTATTCCTCCCTCTTTCTAGCTCTCTCTCTCTCTCTCTCTCTCTCTCTCTCTCTTTCTGTCCCTCTAGCTCTCGCTATCTCTCTCTCTCTCCCTCTCTCTCTCTCTTACTCACACACAAACTCTCTCTCTCTCCCTCCCTCCCTCTCCCTCCATCTCTCTCTCTCTCTCTCTCGCACTCACTTTCTCGCCATCTCTCTCTCACTAGCTCTCACTCTATCTTTCTCTCTCTCTCGCTCTCTCTCTCTCTCACTCATTCTCTCTCTCTCCTTCTCACAATCGCTCTCGCTATCTCTCTCTCTCACTCCCTCTCTCTCTCACTCACTCATTCTCTCTCTCTCTCTCTCATTCTCACTCTTGCTCTCGCTATCTCTCTCTTCCTCATTGTCTCCCTCTCTCACTCATTATCTCTCTCTCTCAATCATTCTCTCTCTCTCTCTCTCTCTCCCCCCTCCCTCTAGCTCTCTTCTCTCTCCCCTTCACTCTAGCTCTCTCTCTCTTGCTCTTTCCCTCTCTCTCTGTCTCACTTTCTCTCTAGCTCTCTCTCTCTTCTGTCACACCGACTCTCTCTCTCACTCATTCTCAAACTCTCTATCCCTCTCTCTCTGTCTCACTTTCTCTCTAGCTCTCTCTCTTCTATCACACTGACTCTCTCTCTCACTCATTCTCTCTCTCTCCCTCTCCCTCTCCCTCCCTCTCTCCCTCTTCCTCTCTCTCTCTCTCTCCCTCACTCAGTCATTCTCTCTCTCTCTCACTCTTAGTCATTCTCTCTCTAGCTCTCTCTGGCTCTCTCTCTCTCTCTCTTGCTCGCTCACTCTCCCTCTCCTCGCTGTCTCTCCCGCTCCCTTTCACTCCCCCTCCCTCCCTCTATCTCTCTCTGTCTCACACACACTCTCTCTCTCAATATCTCCCTCTCTAGCTCTCTCTCTAGCTCTCTCTTTATCTCTCTCTATCTCCCTCTAGCTCTCTCTCTCTTTTAGTACCTCTAGCTCTCTCTCTCTCTCTCTCTCTTACACATACATACTCTCTCTCTCTCTTGCTCTCTCCCCCTTCCCCTAGCTCTCTCTCTCTCTCTCCCTCTCTCCCTCTCTCTAGCTCTTTCTCTCTCTCTTACTCACACACACACACCCACTTTCTCATGCTCTCTCTCTCTTTCACACTCATTCTCTCTCTCTCTCTCTCATTCTCATTATCGCTCTCGCTATCTCTTTATCTCTCCCTCTCTATCTCTCTCTCACTCATTCTCTCTCTCTCTCTCTCTCTCCCTCTCTCTCTCTCTCATTCTCATTCTCGCTCTCGGTATCTCTCTCTCTCTCTCTCTCTTTCTTGCTCTTTCTCACTCATTCTCTCTTTATCTCTCCCTCTCTCTCTCTCTCCCTCATTCTCTCCCTCTCTCTCTCTCTCTCTCTCTCTATTTCTCTCTCTCTCTGTCCCTCCCTTCCCCTAGCTCTCTCTCTCTCGCTCTCTCACTCTACCCCTCCCTCTCTCCCCCTCTCTCTCCCTCTCTCTAGCTCTCTCTCACATTCTCTCTCTTTCCTTCTCACTATCACTCTCGCTATCTCTCTCTCTCTCTCCCCCCCTCTCTCTCCTCTATCATTGTCACTCTTGCTCTCGCAATCTCTCTCTCTCTCTCTCTCTCTCTCTCTCTCTCTCTCTCTTACTCTCTCTCCCTTATTCCCTCTATCTCACTCATTCTCTCTCTCTCTCAATCATTCTCTCTCTCCCCCCTCTAGCTCTCTCTCTCTCTTGCTCACTCTCTTATTCTCTCTCTTGCTCTCTATCTCTCTCTCCCTCTCTCTCTACCTCTCTCTCTCTATCTCTCTCCCTCCCTCCCTCCCTCTCTCTTACTATCTCTCACTCTCTCTCTCCCTCCCTCTCCCTCTCTACCTCTCTCTGTCTCTCTCTCACTCACTCTCTCTCTCTCACTCAGACTCACTCATTCTCTCTCTCCCTCTTTCTTCTTCTCACTCTCTCTCTCTCT